TGTTGATTTTGTAACCTGCTATTTTGCTGAATTTGTTTTTTAGCTCTAGCAGTTCTTTGGTGGGGCTTTTTGGATCTTCTAAGTATAGAATCGTATCATCTGCAAACAGTGGTAATTTAACTTCTTCCTTTCCTATTTTTATTCCTTTTATTTTATTCTCTTAACTAATTGCTCTGGATAGAACTTCCAGTATTATATTAAATAGAAGTGTTAAAATTGGACATAGTTTTTTTCAGATTTTAAAATAGGAAATGCTTTCCATTTTTCCCCATTCATTATGATGTTGGCTTTGGGYTTTTCATAGATAGCCTCGATGATGTTCAGGTAGTTTCCTTCYATCCCTAGTTTCTTCAATGTTTTTACATGAATGGGTGTTGAATTTTGTTGAAGGCTTTCTCTGAATCTTTGAGATAACTAAGTGATTTTTGACTTTGATTATATTTTTATGTGATGAATTACATTTATTGATTGTATATGTTAAACCATCCTTGCCCTCCTTGGTCTTCTTACTCTATTATCTATTAAGGATTTTTGCATCTAAGTCAGGGCAAAGAACATTAAAGTCCAGACTTACACGTTGTTTTTTCATTTGYATTAAGGGCCTTGGTGAAGGTGATGAGAAGTCACCTGTTGACTGTCAGCATCTGGAGTATCTTCTTTCTCTCTTTCAGAGTAAAGGCCCTAAAGCTGTCATCAACATCAAGGACTTGAATGCCACTTTCCAGACAGAGAAGATAGGGCACCCACACGGGCTGCAGATCACCTACAGGAGAGAGCGCCACATCAGGAACCTGTTTGTGTACCACGAGAGTGGGAAGGTGAGATGGCTGGAGTCCCACCCCAGCTGCYGGTCCAGCTCACCACCATCCTTACTCATTGCACAATGTGTTCAGCTGCCTCTGAAGACTTATTGCTGCCTCTTGCCTTAATCTATTTTCAGTTTCCAGTGTGACACAGAGGTCTGAAGAAGGCAGAGTGAGATGTGAGAGAGGAACCTGGCAGATGCCATGGTCCTATACGGACAGTGCACAATCACCAGTGGGAGTCCAGTTAGCAGAAGGGACTATGCCTCAGGATGGTACATCCAGATAGGGCCTGAGTTTCTGAATATAGGAGAAATGGCTAACTCAGGCTAGGGCCTTTCTGCTCAGCTGCTGTCCTGGACCAACAGCATTKGCATCACTTGGGAACTTGTTAGAACCAGAGTCCCAAGTCCATCCCAGACCTACTGAATTAGAAACTTCCCTTCAACAGGATCCTTAGGTGATCCCAAAACACGTGAAAGTTTGAGAAGCGTTCGTTACTTAATGGTCTGCAGATCAGCCCAGAGAAGAGAAGACCAATAGTCCAGGTTTGAGAGAGTACACAGGGTCAGATCCTGACMACATGATGGGGGCAAAGAACAGAGGTGCTAAGTAGTGGGTAGAGGGAAGTCGGGGTTTACATTTTGTGGGCATCTATTAACTCTGCTGTTCTATACAGCATTTTTTATAATATTTATTTTTTAGTTTTAGTTGTCAATACTTTTATTTTTTATTTTTTATATGGTGCTGAGGATTGAACCCAGGGCCTCGCATGTGCTAGGCAAGTGCTCTACCGCTGAGCCACAATCCAAGCTCAGCATTTATATATCTATACACACACACATACACACATACACACACATACATATAGTTGTCAATGGACCTTTATTTTTATTTATTTTTTTTTATGTGGTGCTGAGGATTGAACCCAGTGCCTCACAGATGCTAGGCAAGTGCTCTGCCACTGAGCTACAGCCCCAGCCCCTGCATTTCTTAATCTTCTAAACAACCATGGAGGGCTAGGGATGTGGCTCAGCGGTAGAGCACTCGGCTAGCACGTGCAAGGCCCTGGGTTCAATCCTCAGCATGACATAAAAATAAATAAATAAAATAAAGGTATTGTGTCCATCTACAAAATAAAAAATAAAATGTTAAAAAAAAAAACATGGAAATGTCTTGTCCCCTTGCTCCCAAGGCATGAAAATTAGTGTCACACAGCCAATGATTCCTGGGCCCTGCACCCATTTTACCATTCCATGTTCCTCTGCTGGTGGGATAACCTTTAGCAGTAGGAGCCAGGAACCAGATGCAGGGACTAGGCCTTCCCGAGACCCACACTGGAATGTTGCCTGTGGGTCACCCGGTCAGCAGCCTTTGCAGACTCCTTCGTCTACTTCACAGTCTACCTGGGTGCCTCGTGGCAGGGGTTTGGAGTCAAAGTTAGAGCCCCAGCTCTGCTGTTCTCCACTGTGTTGCTGGGGCGGGTCACTTCCCTGTGCTTGTTTTTGGATTCTGGCACCCATCTCTCAGAAGGACTTTAAGAGCTGAATGACCATGAACCACRGATGTGAAAGATTTCATCACCATTACGTGCATTACAAACATTACTTGTTATGGTTGATATTTGCTCATGACTGTAGCAGATGTCAAGGGCAAAGTCTTGTAGTCATTTATTCATTTACAAACTCACTCTTTTAACAAATTCTTCTTGAGCCCCTGCAGTGTGGGAAGGGTCTAGGGAGTGTCATCATGARTGGTGCAGAGCCATGGGCCTCAAGGATCTCACAGTCTAGGGAGGAAGGAGGAAATAGGCACTGACCATGCCCTGGGATGGGTGGCCATGCTGGGGACACACAGAAGACACGTGTTTTTAGTATGTGTGCAGGAGGGTCAAGAAGGCTTTCCAGAGGAAAGTTTCTATTTAAGAATTTGGGGGATTCTGCTAAAAAAAAGGAGCATTCTACCATGGTGTAAAGGGCATGGTATAAAGAGCATGGTRGCCATGCCTGTAATCCCAGTGGCTCAGGAGGCTGAGGCAGGAGGATCATGAATTCAAAGCCAGCCTCACCAACTTAGTGAGGCCCTAAGCAACTCAGTATCTAAATAAAATATAAAAAGGGCTGGGGATGTGGCTCAGTGGTTAAGCACCCTTGGGTTCAATCCCCAGCATCACACACACACACAGAAAAAGGAGCACAATCTGGTTTAAAGAAGCATGAACAGGAAGGGGACAGAAGTATTTGTTTTAAGGGCCAGAAGTACTGCTGGGCCTCCTGAGAGATTAAAATCAGGAACTAACACTCATCTCTCCTCTCCTCTCCTCTCCTCTTCTCTTCTCTCCTCTCCTCTCCTCTCCTCTCCTCTCCTCTCCTCTTCTCTTCTCTCCTCTCCTCTCCTCTCCTCTCCTCTCCTCTCCTCTTCTCTTCTCTTCTCTTCTCTTCTCTTCTCTTCTCTTCTCTTCTCTTCTCTTCTCTTCTCTTCTCTTGTCCCTCCCTCTCTCTCTTTAACACTCTTTAACAGGCACAAGTTGTCCTTACATCATCAGGGATCAAATGGTACCACACTTGTTTTGTTTCCCTAAATTCAAGAGCCTCATTTCCAAGATTAGCAAGGAATGTCATCAGTCATCTCTCTTGTCCCAGGGCCACCAGTCCATTACTGGAGAGACCTTATAAAGTGGTAGCCTGAGCGAGTTTTTCTGGTCTGGCCCCATTCCCTTAGTGCCTGAGACCCTAGAAAGTTCTTAACAAACCCAGGGGCAAGATGGCTTGGAACTTCAGAATACTAGCYCCCTATCCTTGACCTAGGGGAGACAAGTGGAAATTGTTTCATTCCTTTGAAACCATATTTAAATGACTTTTTCAGTCACCATATTACCTCAAAGTCCAGTGCTGCAGCTATTTGGACAAGTCTTTCCGCCTCCCAGTTCCTGGGAGAAAGAATCTGGTAAATCCAGTCCAGCCTCTGTATCGGTCCAGTCCTGGTCCAGGTGCTATGGCCCAGGAAGGGCAGGATTGGGAATGGAAATGGGGGTGAGGGGCAGTTCTCAGAGAAACAGGTTGGCTAAGCAACCAGCCGAAAATTTATTACAACATCTAAACTGACCTGCAGGATGGTAGAATGTTCTAGTTAAAAGATGTGTGTGGGAGGGAGGTGGGTGAGGCCAAGTGCGCCAGGAGGAGGGGATAGCATGAGTTGGGGGTATTGAAAATGTTGAGTGGAAAGAGCTCAGAGGGCAGAGTGGGTCATGCTAAAGAACTTAGGGTAGTGGAGGCGTCCAACCAACCTGGATGAATTAACCAGATAGTCACTGTCTGAATCTGAGCTCCTGAATCRGAGTCTACATTTGAAGAAGATTCCAGATGATTCCAGCAGGCATTAGAAAGTGGAGAGCAATGTCCTGAGCCATTGTGTGTAACTCCTATGCGGCTCACCTGAGTCCTTTCCCATAGCTCTGGAGTCCCTCCTGTCAGTGGTTTCCCTGAAGTCTGTGGCCTAGTCCTCCCAGGTTGACCCTAGCTGGAACTGTGTGGCCTATATGTGTGCTGAATGCATYGGCCCCAAACCTGAAAACCCTAACCAGCCACCAGACTCAGCCTCCCGTCCTCACCCGTCTGACTAGCTGTCTGTGTCCTTTGTATTTTGTCACAGGAGATAGTGGACTGGTTCAACGCCCTCCGTGCAGCCCGTCTGCAATACTTAAAAATGGCCTACCCCGAGCTTCCAGAGTCTGAGGTGAGCTACCTGTAGACCCCAACTTCTCAGTCTCCCCCTGCCACCTCCTCTCCTCAACTACTGATCCCTGAGGCCAGACGAGGTTTATTGCAGGCAAGACCTGGAAAGGAGAGGGTTGGGCACCACAGAGGGAAGCTGAAGGCTTTTATTTTTCTGGGGAGGCCGGAGGATAATGGACTCTAAAAATCAGGTCAGTTTCTTCCCTTCAGGACACATGGCCACTATAGTGACAAGAGGCTCAGCCTTTGGACATCTCTTTCTGACTCCTTCTCCCACTAAAATGAACAAATGGTCCCTACATACTATTTAACAAAATGCTTTTGAGCCCATTTTATCTTGTAACCCTTTTAGGCAGGATGAGTATTCCCATTTTACAGATGAGAAATGGAGTCCCAGGAAGGTCAAGTGAGTAACGGAAGGTGCTCTTCTCACACTAACATCTGCCCTTTTCCCTATGGTGCTCTGGACTCAGGGAGGCCTTAGGATCTTCCCCACTGCAATTGTAACAGGAGAGGTCTGCCTACAGTGGCCAAGGTAATGGTGAGCCCGAGAATTTCATTTGAACTGTCCTCAGGCTTGGGTGGGGTAGCCCATGTGGCACAAGGCAGAGGATGCTGCCTTGAGCCAGGAGGCCTGGACCCTCATGGATGCTCTGTCCCTGATTTGCTATGTGACTCTTGCAGGTCATGGCACCTCTCTGAGCATCTGTTTTCATATTGGGTGGTTGTTGCAGACCCTTTTCATGGTCTCTTCCAGCTCTGAGGTGCTATAGTCTGGTCGTTTTAAAGTGATAGAGGTAGAGAGATCCTGTTAATCCTGGACTTTCCTTCCTCCCAACTSTTTGACCCTCTTTGTTCCTCAGTTCCAAAGCTTGCAGGGAGCTAGATGTCTGGGTTAGGGTCCACTCCAGTGGCCCAATGATGCATTGAAACAGCAGCTCCCTGGGTACAGTTCTAGTAAGGCCTGGCCTGGTTCTGAGAAGCCCTTGGAGGTTGGTGTGCTGAGTCAGCACGTGGAGCTGGCTCATGCTTGCTCCCTTGGGCGGGAGTTGGGAGTGCTGACTGCTGACCAAGAGGAGGAGAGGACAAAGTGAAAGTGCTCAGCCTTGTTTCATTGGGGCTGGCTTCCCATCCTTGCTGACCCATGTGGAGGAAATTGGTCTTCAGCCAGTGTCCTCCACATTCCCTTTTCTCTCTCGTTCACGATCATTACCCCTTATCCATCTCCAGTCTCCTCCCAACCCACCTCTCTCCTCTGTCTTTCCTCGAACCCTATGTCTATGTATGGTGTGAAATTCTGGGCAATCATCCAGACTTAGCTCAGGATTAAGGATCCAAATGCTGGAAACCCAGGGAGGCCCTGTGGAGTTGTGGTCTTTTTATCAGAAATAGATACAGGATCTGGGTACAATGCTTATAATCCCAGCTACTTAGGAAACGGAAGCAGGAGGATCACAAGTTCAAAGCCAGCGAGACAATTGAGCAAGACCCTATCTCAGAAATTAAACAAACAGGGATGAGTTCAAGAATACAGTGCTTGGGCTGGGGATGTGGCTCAAGCGGTAGCGCGCTCGCCTGCCACGTGTGCGGCCTGGGTTCGATCCTCAGCACCATATACAAACAAAGATGTTGTGTCCGCCAAAAACTAAAAAATAAATATTAAAATTCTCTCTCTCTCTCTCTCTCTCTCTCTTAAAAAAAAAAAAGTGCTTGTCTAGCATGAAGCTCTGGGTTCAATCCCCAGTACTGCAAAAAGAAATCACAAAAACAAAAATGCATACAGGGCTGGGGATGTAGCTCAGTGGTAGAGCACTTTCCTAGCATACTTAATTCCATCCCCAGCACCACAAAAAGAAAGAAAGAAAGGTACACAGATTCTGATGTGTTATTTAGGGCAAGCCACCTCGCCTCTCTGAGCCTCAGTCTACTCATCTGTCACCACAGGGACAATGCTTACCTTCCAGGACTATTTTAAGAATCATTTGAGTCAAGTTATACAAGGTACAGTAAGGAGTTCCCTTCTTTCCATTGTTTCCCTGAGCCTAGACTAGCCCTGGGCTGGCTCAAGTTCAGAATAGGGAGCAACTGGTGACCCTATTTTCTCCAAATGGAGAAATTAAAGCTTATAGGATGTATTTTAGGGAAAAGGGAGTAACATAGTTGAGGTTTTCATTTTTGGCCCCCAATTTCTCCCCTTTCAGATTTCCCATTCTTCTTCCCCAGATCTCTCCGCCCCTTTGCCCCTGCCCTGGAGCCTGGGAGAAAGTGCTCTGTTCTTGAAACAAGTCTGCTGCTTGAAACTTTTGACTTGCCCAGTTGACACCCCCTCCCCACCCCGTCCTCCCACAGCACAGGARGCCAGTGTCAATCCCTGGCAGCTTCTCTGAGCACAGGAGGGCAGGCTGGAGCTCACATGATCAAGTCTTGTCCATTGCACAGGAGGAACTGGCCCAGAGAGACAGAAGGTCTCATTAAGGTAGCACAGCTGGTTGAGACCAGAGGTGAAGCGAGAATGCATGTCCGTCCACTCCTAGCCCAGAGCTTTCCCTGTTTGCCCACTCTGCAGTCACCTCTTTGTGACCCTATATCAGTTTCCCTGCCAATGGCCAGTCTCAGTCAAGGGGYCTCTGGCACGTGTGCACCTTGGCACCACAGTGAGGTGGCAGGTGTATGGCCTTGTGCCTCCGAGTCCTGAGCATGCTACCAGCTACATAACTTAGAGAAGACCCCCCACCACTTCATTTCAGCTGGGTTCCTTCAGATGCACAATGAGGCCGATAAGATCCACCTCACAGGGCGGCTGAGGATTGCACCCAGATCCTGACACACAGTMGACCCTAGGAAAATGTTCCCAAGAGACACCAAGAGGGTCTTCTCATGGCCTCACTTGAGTCCATTCTTGTGACTGAAGTTGTCCTTAAACCAAGTCCCTAAACTAAGACTCAGCCATGCTGGTGAGCTCAGCAAATATCTGGGGTGCTGTCGACTGGCTTTGTTGAAATATTGATATTACATCCATTGCACATTCCAAATATAACCCCGTAAACCATGAGTTCACATCCTTCCCTATTCCAAACTTCCCCTTTCTCTGGGAGCCAAGTTCAGTGGGGAACCTTGAACTCCTGGGGTGTGAGGAGGGGGTCAGCCTCTGTCTCTCTTCCCCCAGCTCGTGCCCTTCCTCACCAGGAACTACCTCAAACAAGGCTTCATGGAAAAGACTGGTCCAAAGGTACATTCAACCACTCCTTGGGGGACTGACATGGATCTGTCCCAACTACCAATAGGCCAGAATTGGGGAGGTYGGGAAATGGGGAAAGAGGGTTGGAGAGGGAGGGAAAGAAAGTAAACCCGTATATGTGAGCTCCCGGGCTGAAGGGATGGGTGAAGGCTCCATGTCAGCTGGCGTGTGATCCAGCCTTGCTCCAGGGGCTTCTCTCTCTCATGGGGGTATCCCAACCCCCATCATCATCACCATCAGCTTCTTTCCTCCAAACTCTCTCCATCTGTGGAAAAGCAGAGCCAAGAAGGGGATCCCTGGGGAGACAGCTTTTGGGCTCCCCAGAATCCTCTGCTGGGAACCCACGGGGACCCTCCAAGGAGAGGCAGACTGGCCCAAGGAAACACATTCAGGCCAGGGTGAGGCTGCATGTGCACTCACTCCCTCACACTCAGCCTGACTCCTTTGCTAAACCAGCCCCCTCCCCCAGCAGCTGCTTATTCCCACTTATCTATGAAGGAAAGGAAGGGATGCTACTGTGGGGAGGAACCTGGATGTTGATGAAGCTTAAAGAAGCTGGGCTGGGCTGGGGAGATAGCTCAAGTGGTAGAGTGCCTGCCTCCCATGCACAAGGCCCTGGGTTCAATCCCCAGCACCACACATAAACAAAGTCTGACTGAAGGGGGTCCAGATGGTTGGATGAGGGTTGAGAAGAGAGAGTTCTCTCTTCTAAAGAATTCTCCAGAGAAGGCAGCATTMCAGATATATATAAAGGTTTGCTTTAGGTTTCTTCCTTCTCTAGCTGGGYACCGCCCCTCCCTATGGTTTTTACCCCAGGGTTTTCTCTCCCCTGACCTAGGTTAGGATTGGGTCAAGGCCAGCACTTTCAGCTTGGCTGAACAGTAGCCACTTCTGATTTCCCCAGCTTCCTTTTTCTGAGATTTCTTTGTCCACAGCTTGAGAAAGAGGGAAGCRGGCCTTCCCAGCTCTGGCAGCACCTGGAGGCAGCAGGGGTGAAGCTGGAAGGGGGTGGGGTGGGAGATGAGGGCTAGGAATGGGGTTGGGAACTTGCAGAGCCCCAGAGAGAAGTACTGGGCTTGTTCTAGGCTGGCCCTGACCTCTGTCCCCTGCTTTGTCATCCCTGGTAAGAGGTTCCCTCTTTTGCAGCAGAGAGAACCTTTCAAGAAAAGGTGGTTTGCCCTGGATCCCCAGGAGCGGAGACTGCTGTATTACAAGAACCCGCTGGTAAGAGTCACTCCTGGTCCCTCCCCAGGACAGTCCCAAGGAGAGRTGGGTCAGCACTTGTCCAGCCTACACAAATAAACGCATCTCCTGGAGCCCCCAGGGTTGGGGAGCCCTGATYAGGAAAGCCTGTGCCCACCCCTTCTAAGTTAGTTCCTGTTCCAGAAGCCCGTTGAGAGCTTCCCAGATGCTGCCAGTTGTGATTAGATAAGGCATATTCCCCCTGCAGGCTCTGGGGCCTGGTTTCTAACCAGGAGGCTGAGATGAGGAGTGGTGAGGAGTGGAGTCTCTCSAACCTGGTTGTCTGGGCTCCGGTCTCAGCCATGCCATTGTGGTGGCATGTCCTGGGTGGTGTACACACTTAGCTCTCTGTGCCTCAGTTTCCTTCTGTGAAAAATAGACTTAATATGTATGCCTTGCTCAKCGGGTCCCATGATGATCATGACTTCCTACATGGAAAGCGCTTGTATTCCCGGTGCCCAGTGATCTCTCCATACACATTAAGTGTCTTCTCAACAGATGATTATGTGATTTGCTTCAGGGTTTTAACCTTTCAAATTCAAGTCGTTCCCCCACCCACACGGTGGCATACTCCTGTCATCCCAGCGGCTCCCGAGGCTGAGGTGGGAGGATTGTGAGTTCAAAGCCAGCCTCAGCAAAAGCGAGGTGCCAAGCAACTCAGTGAGACCCTAAGTAAAACGCAAAATAGGGCTGGGGAAGTGGCTCAGTGATTAAGTGCCCCGAGTTCAATCCCCAGTATCCACCCACCCCACCCCTCAAAAAAAAAAAAAAAATTGAGTTCCCCTGCAGCATAAATCCTGGCAAGGACACTCACTTACCCCCTTTACCAAAATAGACCTTGAGGGCTGTCAGTGCGTCAGGGGTCCCTCTGCCCCAGCSTGACCTCTGATGACCAGGTGCCTTTGATTTTCAGGATGCCTTTGAGCAGGGCCAGGTTTTTATCGGGAGCAAGGAGCAGGGGTATGAGGTCTCTGAAGACCTGCCCAAGGGCATCCGAGGAAATCGCTGGAAAGCCGGCATCACCATCGTCACCCCGGAGCGCAGATTCATCCTCACCTGTGCCACCGAGAAGGAGCAGCGGGAATGGCTGGAGAGTTTGCGGGATGTCCTGTGCCGCCCCTTGACCCCCCTCCACGTACCCAGTGAGAAGCAGGGACTGGGGGTTGTTTTTTTTAACAGAGGGTAGGAAGGGGTTTCTTCACTGGGACTCGACTGTGTTGCCAGAAGAGTCCTGACTCTGCGCTTTCTGTGGCCTTCTCTTCCTGCCAAAGAAAACACACAATTGTCGCCAGGAAATCCCCTCTGTGCCCCAAGTTCCTCTAACACAGTCCTTCTCCATGAGCTTCAAAAGGAGTTTGGAGCCCGGGCGGTATTGCCCGCCTGTAATCCCAGTGACTCAGGAGGCTGAGGCAGGAGGATCTCAAGTTCAAAGCCAGCCTTAGCAAAAAGCAAGGCACTAAGCAACTCAGTGAGACCCTGTCCAAAAAAAAAAGGACTGGGGATGTGGCTCAGTAGTCCAGTGCCCTGAGTTCAATCCCTGGAACAACAACAACAACAAAAATGGTAGTTTGGTGCCAGCAGAACCCTTGAGGCTATCTCTGCCCAGCTCATCATCTAGGTGCTGGGCAACCTTGTTCCTGATCCCTTTTCTCATGAGAAAACTGTGTCCTCCTATTATTAGCTGAGGTCACCCTGCTGGGCAGCTCCTGGGACTTTGGATTCTGCCCCACTCCAGAGGGAAGGCTATTTTTAGTGTCCTTCTTTCCCCTGGGTCCTTCCCTCTGTCTGTCTCTCTATGGCTCCTCCTCTTCACCCCAGATGTGTCCCTGCACGGCTGCCCTGTCTGCTGACGGCCCTGCAGAAAGGGAGAGATGTGCTGAGCTGGAGCAGGAAACTTCTGACCCAGGGCTTGACTTCTGGGGCACAAGGGAGAAGTTCTGTGTTTGGAAAAGTACAGACTGAGCAGGTGACCTCACACAGCCCCTTGGGGAAACTCCTGTGCCCTCTGAGCCTGACCAGTGCAAACACAAACTCTCTCTTCTTCGTTGTCCCAGTTCCCAAAGCCAAARAGCCTCAGAAGCAGATGTGGGAGGCATTGGGTGGGTTAGTTGGCGCTTCCTTTTCTCTAGGTGCATGTGTGTTGGAGTCTTTCGGTTTCTCTCTCCATCTCCATCTCTGTGCTTATCGCTCCCTCTCTAGTGTGTAGGTCCTCTGTGTCTCCCACTCTTTTGGTTTGTCTTCTTTAAAAAAAAAAATGTTCTTTTTTGCTTTTCTTCCTTCCTATCTTTTTCATTCTGTTTTTTACTTTGACTCCCTCTGGTAGCATGACCCCCTCCCTCACACTCCTGTTTCCCTTGCAGCTGCAGAAGCAGAGAGTGGCTGTAGCAGCAGGTGACCCATCGGCTGGGGAGCTGGCTGGCCACCAGCCACCCACTGGAGCTCCTGGCATAAAGGAGGAGTTCTTATCTCTGATCCAGTTGCCCAGCACGAGTGCCCCACAGCCAGCAGCCAGCTTGGCAGAACTCACTGCTGACACTGAAGCTGTGATGGATCTTCCTGCTCCTTGGCCTTTCCCTACTGCCCAGCCTCCAGATCAGAGGACGTGGTACACAGTGAACACATATGTCACCCTGTCTTACAAACCAAGACTTGAAATGTCCTGAAGGCCCAGGACCTGCTCATCTGAAATGGAGGCATTGTAATGAAAAAGCACCCACAGCATCCTGCAAGTGGCGTTTTGAAAAAAAAAAATTATCTGAATGTAATCATGAGGAAATAATCAGGCAGATTCACATTAGGTATGCTCTGCTGAAGAGCCRGCTGGGACTCTTCAAAAAGGTCCATGTGATGAAAGGTAAAATAGTTTGGGAACTGTTGTAGGTCTGGCAACCAGCAACCAGATGCAATGTATGATTCTTGATTAGGTCCTGGATTTTAAAAAAATAGCTGTAAAGCACATAATTAAGATAATTGAAGAAATTTGAATATGGATTTATATTAGCTAATAGGATTGTAAGATTATGGTACTCATGCTGTAATGGTACAGGAAAATATTCCTGTCCTTAGGAGTTGAAGTAAAATGTAATGATGTCTATGACTAATTCCTAAAAGATTCAGCAAAAATAAGTGTATGTATAGATATATGAATACAGTGTGTGTATGTATATATATATAGAGAGAGAAAGAGAAATACAGATATACATATATATATAAAGAGAACAGTACTGTATAAATGTTATCAACTGATGAATCTAGATAAAGTGTAGATGGGGTTATTTTCCTATTAATACAAATATATAGGTTTGAAAGTTTTTATATTAAAACATTGGAGGAAAAAAAAAAMCAAAAACCCGACTACTTTTCACTCTTCAAAAGCATGTTTTTCTCTATGAATCCAAATGTTCCTGGAGCCAGGCACAATGTCACATGCCTGTAGTCCCAACTACTCATGAGGCTGAGGCAGCAGGATGGCAAGTTTGAGGCCAGCCTTGGACAGTTAACAAGACCCTGTCTCAAAATAAAAAATAAAGAGGGCTGGGGTTATAGCTCAGGGATAGAACTTTGGCCCAGAATGTGTGACACCCTGGTTTCAATCCTCAGTACTCCGACTAACAAAAAATAAAAGTAGCCAGAGCAATGTTACCTACCTGTAGTTCTAAGTACTTTCAAGACTGAGGTAGGAGAATGCCTGAGTCTGAGAGCTTGAGGCCAGCCTGGGGAACATAGTGAGGACCCCCCCACACACACACACACAAAAGAGGGGGAATCAGGCTGGATCTGGAGCTCAGTAGCAGAGGTCTTGCCTAGCACGTGTGAGGCACTGGGTTGATCCTTAGCACCACATGAAAATAATTAAAATAAAGGCATACTGTCCATCTACAACTACAAAAAAAATAGATAAATAAGAGAGGGGGGATCAATGTTCCTGCTAGAGTTCCATCTTTGTGCATATTTGAAAGAAACAGAAGCTCAGATAATATCAAAACGATGCCTGCATTGATTGTCATCGTGCTCTGGAAGGGTAAAAAAAAGCAAGCAGAGGAGAGCTATCCAGGGTTGTCAGGTCCTGCCACTAACTTGAGATCACTAGCAAATTCACTTCCCCAAGTCTGTGCCTTGGTTTTTCTCTCCGAAATGAGGAAGTTGCACTCGTTATTGAAATCCAGTGTAAGTCACATGTATTTTTGCCCACCTCACGGATGCCAGGCTCTCTGCCTCCCCCTGTGAATAGGCAGGAATAAAACGATGTGCTGATGACAGCCTGCAGGGGGCGGCAGCCATTAACCAGGGAATGGCAGGGAGTAGGGCGTTCAGAAAGGGGAAGGAGAGCAGCCTGCGGTGGCAGGGTGGGGCAACCGGGCTTGTCCTAACTGAGGGGGAGAGGGCAGCCGCCTCCCTTTCCAGAAAGTGACACTGAAGTTGAAACTTCCCGGCTGTGTAAAGATTAGTCAGGGGGAAGAGGGTAAGGAAAACACTTTCAGCTGAAGGAAGAAAATGGTCAAAGGTCCCCAAGATGTGAAAGAGAAACTGACAGGAATCTCAAATGGCTGAAACGTTAGAGAAACAGATGGACAAGTTTCCAGTTCTGTGATTTTTTTTTTTTTAAATCCTTTTCTCTCTTTTCAAGGGATGTGCAGAAATACACGAGGTATTTTTTCTTCAAGGGAGACCCAGAGGGTTGAGAGGGTCTTTAAGAGATTCTCTACAGTTAATGGGACTTTTCTTTGGAAGCCCGGAGGACAAGCAACACATTGGGGTGTCTCTTTCCTGAAGGGTAGGGAGGTGGGTTCTCTCTGCATCACCTTGGAAATGTCTGTTTCAACTCCTGCTGGGCTGTGTGGTAGGGGCCAGTTCACTTGTCTCCCTTTTCCACCACCWATGAACTGTGTTGGGCACCCTGCTAAGATCTGGGGATGAGGACATCAATGAAAGGTGCAATCTCGCCCTCAAGGGAAACCAGAGGGGAAGGAAGAAAAGTCRTCAGAGAGCAACAACCCTGCTCCACTACTCTGGGTGGGAAGCCAGGCTTCTGAGTGTGGGAGAGGGGCCGAGGACAGGCACAAGAGGTCAAACTCCCGTGAAATGCAGTGCCAGGTTTTAGTTGGTTCCTGCAGCCTAGTTGGGTCTCTATCTTTGGGTTCCCTGACGATACCTTTGGACTTTTGCCTTAAATCCTYCTTTTTCCGTCTTGTGAGTACAAGGAAGTTTCTATGGTTTGAATCAATCCCAACTGAAAATTCTCCCAAAGAGATGATATCTATGCTGAATCCTAAAGAATGAGTAGAAGATCCTTGGGTGGAGGTTGGGGACACAGAAAGATGCATGTACAAAAAGGCCCYAAGACAAGAGAGGCCTGTTCTGGAAATTTCAAATCATTAAGTATGTCTACAGAACAGATTGTTGGAGTGAGGAGGAGTAAGGAAAGATGAAATTGTAGGAGGGTTTGCTTCCAATAATGTTGGAGCAACTCCTATCACRACAATCATCCTTCAGATATCAATTATAGGCGCTGGACAGACTATATAAAAAAAAATGCCTGAAAGCACTGGGAAATGACCCAAARCAGGCAGGAACCAGAAAGGAGTTGGCATTAAAAAGCAGGGAATGGCACGGATAAATGTCTCATTTTTTTTTTAGTTTTCATCAGAGGACAGGCCCAGGTTAGTGCCTCAGGGAGTTACCCAAACTCTGATGGAAACATACATACAGTCTTCCTTCCTGAACAACAGAGAACAGTGAAGTAAACACAGCAATTGGAAAGTGAAAGGAGAAAATCTGGGAGAAGAGAGCCACAGAGGAGGAGCCCTGAGTTTTCCATATAAACGGTCCGATCTCTGGAGAAATGTAGCAGAATCCAAAAGGTCTATAAAGTATCTTTCACAATATCAGGAWATAACGCAAATTACTAGATAAATGTGTGCTAATCAGTTTTGTTACCATAACAAAATACCTGAGATAATCAGCTTACATAGAGAAATGGAGGGACCCTGTCTCAAAAAATAAAGGGCTGAGGATGTGGCTCAGTGGGAGAGCACCCCTGGGTTGAATCCCCAGTATTAAAAACAAACCCCCAAAAATGTAAAAAATAGTTTTAAGAGAAATATAAAAGATTGCCTACTTAAAGCAAAAATTACAAATGTTTTGCTTTATAGCATCTATAGAGATAACATATATAATAACTGGAGCTTAAAGACTGGGCCAACTGATCATGGACTGGAGTCTGAAAACTGTGATTAAAAACACTGAAAAAAATATAAACATTTTCTCTTTGTAAGCTGATTATCTCAGGTATTTTGTTATGGTGATGAAACTGATTAGCACACAATTGTATAGTAAATTTTACGATAAGTGGCATACAAAATCAACTCTAAATTGATTGTGAAAAGTCAATGATGTGTATTATAATTCTTTCTTTTTCAAAAGAAAAGAATTATAGGGTTGRGGTTGTGGCTCAGTGGTAGCGTGCTTGCCTGGCATGTATGAGGCACTGGGTTCGATTCTCAGCACCACATATAAACAAATAAATGAATAATGGCCCATCAATAAGTAATAAAAAATCTTTAAAAAAATAAAAGAATTATAATATACATCTCTTCACCCACCCACTCCAGGCTGGTCTCCAGGTCCCCGACTCAGACAATTCTCCTACCTAATCAGGTCCTGGGGATTGAACCTAGGACCTTTTGCATGCTAGGTCAGCACTCTGCCTCATCCCTTTTTGTTTTTTATTTTGAGACAATCTCCCTAAATTGCTGAGGCTGACTTCAAACTTGAGATCTTTCTGCCTCAGGCTCCTGAGTACCTGGGATTACAGGTGTATGTTCCCACACCCTTTTCCATTCTCATCCCTACCCCTTTTAAAATTGTGTGGTTTGTTTTCTTATTGTTAAATTCTTCATATACTCTGAATACCAGTCCTTTGATAGACAAATTGGCAAATATTTTCCCCCAGTCTGTGGTTTTTCACTTCCTGTCTCTGTGTCTCTGTCTCTCCCCCCCGCCTTTTGCTACTGGGATCAAACCCAGAGCTTTGTGTATACTAGGCAAATTCTCTACCACTGAGCTATGCTCTCAGCCCAAATTTTTCAGTCCCTTGACTGGGCTAATGGAATCTTCTTTCATCAAGACACTGAGGTCACAGTTCATTACTTTCTTTGTTTTATGAAGATCTTGTACAGCATTAACAATAGGGTATTTRTTGGGTGCATGGTGCAAACCTGTAATCCCAGGAGGCTGAGGCAGGACGATCATGAGTTCAAAGCCAGCCTCAGGAATTTAGGAAGGCCCAAGCAACTCAGTGAGACTCTGTCTGTAAATAAAATACCCAAAGGGCTGAGGATGTGGCTAAGTGTCCCTGAGTTCAAAAGGGTATTTTGGCTTGTGTTTGGATGTTTGTATTCATTTATTATGAAGTGGAGTGAGAATAAGGACTGTGACAACGTATAAYATGCTTAATAAACTCTCCCTTCCCTTCACCACAAAACAAAAACAAACACATAAACAAAAACTTTGTCTCCAAAAACATCTATCAAAGCAAACTCTAGTAGACCACATTGGTGACAGTTGTACCTTGTTTTATCCAGCACACAAACTCAAGGACCTTGTTACTTCTTGTCACTTGGCATTGGAACAAAGTATTGCCTGGCATGGTGGCTCAAACCTGAGGTCCTAGCTACTCAGGAGGCTGAGGCAGGAGGACTGTTTGAGTCCAGGAGTTAGAGACCAGCCTGGGCAACATATTGAGACCTTCTCTCAAAAATAGAGTATTCAGGGGCTTAGGTTGTGGCTCAGTGGTAGAGCGCTTGCCTGGCATGTGTGTGTCAGGAGCTGCCATGTGGGAATCGAGYGCCCCCTAGCTTTGAGTGATGAGAATGTGGAGTTGTGGCAAGTCAGCCACYGGCTGTGTGTGTGAACTATGAGCACTAAGCACACAGGGTGGACTGAACTGATGTTGCTTCTCTGTTTGGGTGGGCAATATGAGCGTCTTTTCCTTCTCTCTGTCTATGATCCCCACACAGGGCAAGATGGGCGTGGGCTTCCTAGATGTCAGTCAACCTGCTGACAGCAAAACTTCACAAAGCTAGACTCAACCCCCTGAAACCTGACCCCTTGCCTCATTTGAATGGCTTCTCCCCAATAAAAGGGTTCAGCACCCATGCTCCTCACTCTCTTTCTTGCCTGCCTTGCCCCCCCCCATGGGTGCTGCAGCTGAGGAGCCGTCACTGAACCCCCCAAAATAGGTACTTTCTGTGTCTGTGTATTCACTTATTTCCCAAATTCACTAGGAGTGACCTTGACTCGTTTAGTCGTGGGACTCGACACATGAGGCACTGGGTTTTATTCTAAGCACAGCATATAAATAAATCAAATAAAGGTCCACCAACAACTAATAAAAATATTTTAAAAATAAAGTATACAATTCAATTGTCTTGAAAAAACCAACAACAACAAACAGTGTCATAGAAATGTGTGTTGACAAATTTGCTTGAACTGACCACAAATGACTCTGATTTAACTGACTGGTTTTACAGTAAGGACCAGCTTTGCCAATTAGATTTACGTGGCATATATTCTACATAAATCCATTGAATTCAATCTACAGGTCCAATCTTTTGAAGAATATTTCAGGTATATAAGATAAAAGTACCTTCGCCCTCCAAAAAAAAAAAAAGAAAGAAAAAGAAAAAAAAGGAAGAAAGAAAAAAGATTATTAGGTCAACAAAGACATATTGAAAAGTATTCTAATTTTTCTAGCCCTTTCTGAATACATCAGGGTGTTTCTAAGTCAAAGTGTAATTGACAAACCTAAGCAGAGTTTTTTTGGCCTACATCCCAGAAAATAAGAAAGTGAATACTTCCAATGACTTCTACAACACAGATGATTTCAAATGTCTGTTTTCGACAAAAAAATAAAGAGAAAAAAATCGAATCAAGTTTCCAGCTGAGAAATTATTTTTAAAAAACTTCTGGTTTTGCTCTCCAATGGGGCAAGAAAACTAAAACAGCAAAACCAACCCAAGAAAAAACGAACAAATAAAACCATGAAATTTTTTTCTATGATGGATCCCTATAGGATTTGGGGTGCTTGTTGGGTAACGGGCTTTCAGCCCTCAGAGGGCATCAAGGAGACTGGAACAATTCTACATTATTGTAGAGATTTTAAAAGTTTAGAGATCAGTTACTCGATCTTGACTGCGTGGTATAATCACTTGCGGGAGGTTTTATAAAACATCCGAGCCGGGACCCCACTCCAGACATGTGAAATCACACTGTCTGTGAGAGATGCCCGAACTTCGGTATTTTAAAAAGTGTCCCAGTAGATGTGCAACGGTGTTCTTTAATCCCTTCCCACTTTTTTTTTTTTTTTTTAACCAGGGATTGCACTCAGGGGCACTCGACCACTGAGCCACACCCCCACCCCACCCCTATTTTGTATTTTATTTAGCGACAGGGACTAAGTTGCTTAGCACCTTGCTTTTGCTGAGAGGCTGGCTTTGAACTGGCGATCCTCCTGCCTCTGCCTCCAGAGCTGCTGGGATTAAGGGTGTGCGCCACTGCACTCAGCCCCTTATCACTTTTTTAGAGGGCTGGTTAACACCTAGTGGGCGCATCCCCATTAATGAGTTCCTGAATCGAACCCTCTTTCTCCTTCTCCCAAACGATGTGGGTTTGCATCTTAATGAGGGAGACCGGGAGCAAGCTAAAGGGACTCTCTGGAACATCTCTGGCACGTTCCTAGCGGCTTGGGGCAAATTGATTTCCCAGGCAAGTGGCCGCCACCGAAGGYCAGCTCTGCCCACAGGGCGCCGCGTGCAGGACGGCAGCGGGTGGGTCCTCGGTCCTCGGAGCGGAAGAAAGCAAGCATCGAGGGACCGCGGCKGGGAGGGGAAGAGGCTGTGGGGAGGAGGAGGAGCCAGTGGGGACTTGGGCGCCCGCTTCCGAGTCCGGGCGCCTGGGTCACCATGGCTGGCCCGAGCTCCAGTTCGGCGATCCCCGTGTGGCTCACGGAGGAGGACCTGAACTGCATCATCTGCCAAGGGCTGCTGACCTCGCCCGCCACGCTGCAGTGCGGCCACAGCTTCTGCTGCGAGTGCTTGAGGAGAGCGTGGGGCGCGCGGGGCACCGGGGTCGCGAGCCACCCCTGGGCCTGCCCCACCTGCCTCGAGGGCGCAGCGCTGCGGCCGAAGCTGCGAAAGAACACGCTACTGCAGTACCTGGCGGACAAGTTCAGCCGGGCGCAGAACGAGCTGGAGGTCGGCCCGGAGCGGGGCCCSAGCCCGGTCCAAGGGCCCGAGCACCGCCCGGCACCGCCGCGGGTARGGAGCCTCGCCCGCAGCGCCCCCTGTCTCCTGCAGGCTGCCCGCGCCGCCTGCCCTCGCCCCCTGCCCTCTCCCCCTGCGCTCTCCCCCGGCCACTCAGCTGCCCCCCTGACCCCTATCTTCA